ATCTCTGAACTTCACATGTGGCAAAAGCTCAGTAAATTTTCTGAACTGATACATAAATCGATACCAGAATTGCCCCACCTTTACAATTCCATACTGAATCCCTAGACTCTACAAGAAGCCAGTGAACCATTCTCTGAATTCAGCTGTGAATTCTAAGTTGTGGTGGTTTGAAAGAAAATGGCCCCCAAAGGGAGTGGCACTATTAGGAGGTGTGACTTTGTTCGAGTAGGTGTAGTCTTGTTAGAAGAAGTGTGTCACTATAAGGGAGGGATTTGAGGTCTTTTTCTCAAGACTCAGTGTGAGAAACAGTTCACTTCATGTTACCTTCTGATCATGATGCAACCAGCACCATGTCTGCCTTCATGCCACCATTATGATAATGGACTGAACCCCTGAAACTGAGCTGTACCAATTAAATGTTTTCTTTATAAGAGTTGCCATGGCCATGGTGTCTCCAGAGCAATAGAAACCCTAACTGAGGCACTAAGCTATTTGATCTGGACCACAAGTCAATGGCAAGTTAGCCCTCACATGTGATTGATGTGTGGGGTTCTGGGAGCCTCACTTCTCCTCTTTCGGTGGCCTCTGTTGCATGCTATCAGCTGCAGTCTCTAGCTCCTAGGAGCTTCCCGTCATCTCCCTGGCAGGTGGGTACAAGGAAACTGCTCTTGGCTTTAGGCCTCTCCTATGCCCCGGTGTAATGTGTGTGCTCGCGTCCCTTCAGGGCTATGCTTGTGTTTGCCATGACAAATGTCAGCTGTTAAGGAACATGGGAGTCCTGCCTCATCTCCATACAGAAAAACCCTACAAGTTTCAGAGGCAGTGAAGCCTGGTCCCCTTCAGCAGCCATTTCATTTTGAATGGCTTCTTTCTCCTGACTCACTCTCCAGGTTTCCTCTTTCCAGGAATTAGCTCTCTTCACATAACCTCCAGCTACACCTCAGCCTCCACTTTGAGTGGAAGCCAGAATAGATAGATGATTTATTGGTCTTAATTTCATTGCAAATTATTGCCAAATTTAAAGCTAAAAAAAAATACCCAACTCATTCAGAATCATTGGTCTTCAATTTCATACTATAGACTGCTGCATGTAACTTCACATACTGCTCTATAAACTTATTAGTGTGTGTGTGTGTGTGTGTGTGTGTGTGTGTGTGTGTGTGTGTGTGTGCCCAAGCCCCACTACAGTGCATACATGTGGAGGTCAAACAATTTATAGGAGTTTGTCTCGCCACATGTAGGTTCTGGGAATGGAACTCAGGTCATGAGGTTATGACACATTTTAAACACTGAGACATCTCATTGAACTCCATATAGAACTTTTTATAAGCTTTGTTTGGTAAGGAAATCTGAAGTCCATTTGTATATTCTCTTGCTTTCAAACCCTTAAACTCTCAATTCCTGGATGATTTAAGTTGTTCTGTGAGGAAAATGGCCTCAAAACTCTGCTTCTCTTAGAAATGAGAGGATATAGAAAATTCTATTGTGCAATGTGGCAGGAAACAAATTTAAAACATTCTTGGTGTCATTTGATTTCTTGTGGTACAGAGAAATCCAGAAATTAAGAACTACGGTGCTAATATGAGAAACTGGTCCTGCTTATGACTCTGATTGGTAGATGCACAGTTCTCACACTAAGACATTGTGACAAGTGACCACCAAAGGAATAGATTGTGAGACCATTTTCACTGCAGCATTTTGTAATAAGGAGATGGGTTATAACAACAATACACACTAGTTGTTTAAGTGAATCATGTTTTCCTCATAAGAGTACATTGTCTTTCCACTCTCTTAATAGAGTTATTTATTTTGTAGTAACGTCTACTATTCAGGTATTGGGGAAGGCACTTGTGTTCCTCAACATGCCTTTAGAGATCAGAGAACAGCCCATAGGAGTTGGCTGGCGCTACCCCCCCCCTCTCTCTCCAGAACGTGGCTGGAAATTGAACTCAGGTGGCCAGACTTGGCAGGAGAGCCTCTACTACTTCCTGGCCCCTTCCCTTCTGTTTTGTTTTCAATTTTTCTCCACCTCCCCCCACCCCAGATTTCTGAGACTGAGTTTCACTGCCTCTAGCACAGAAGTTCTCAACCTTTGTTTGGTTCATGAACCCCGGCCAACCTCTAACTCCAAAAATATTTACATCACAATTCATAACAGTAGCAAATTTACAGCTATGAAGAAGCAACGGAATAATTTTTTGGTTGGGGGTCACCACAATACAAGAAACTGTATTAAAGGCCACAGCATTAGGAAGCCTGAGAACCACTGCTCTAGAGGCTGGCCAGCACTCACTGTGTGGACCAGGCCAGACTTGAACTCATGGTTCTCCTGATCATCCTCCACCCTGCTGGAACTACAGGCATGTGCTGCAACACCCCGCTGAAGACAACTCTTTATGCTAACGTGATTTGGGATTGTAAAACAAGGTCCCAGCATGCTCTGCGTGAATCATTTTTTGTTGTCTGACATGTAGATCATATCCAATGTGCCAGGCTTAACTAATTCTAATATTTTCCATTTCTTTTTAATTTTGTTCTCTTCAGTGCTTGAGATGAAAACCAGGATTCATGCAGGCTGCAACTGAGCTGCATCCCCACTCTCTGCTTCTACTTCTGCATCTGCCAAGTGCACTCTGGGAATATCATAATGTACCAAATCTTTTAGGTCTTACTCTCCTGAGATAACTCTCTGTTCCCAAGTGAGACTTTAAACCTCAAGGTGCCATTTCCTCTCTGCACAGGAATGGGTACCTCATCCAGACTGTCCAATTAAGGCTAGGTGGGGTTGGCCCAGGTTGCTATACTTGGCCAACTACAGTCATTTTTAAAAACTTTTATTACCCTCAGGAATGTCGAGACTGTTGTCCCTAGACACCAATCCTAAATTGCTGGCAGTCATTTTGCTAAAATGTGATTGAGTTTTCCCATAAAAATTGATGCTTTAGGAGAAACACAAAGGAAAAAATACAAAATAGGGAAGGACAAGGGGCAAATGAGGGAGATCCTGTAGTCTCATTATCCTTTTCTTAGTACTCATTTTGTGTATTCTAACATTTGCTGAAATACAGTTTGGGCATTAAGCATGTCTCAGTTGGTTTAGATACACCAAGAGACACTTGTGCTCATATATAGGATAAAGCAATGCAAACAGGGCATCAGTTTCTGCACACCAAGGCCAGCAGATGTTACAATTATTAAATAATTTTTTAAGAACAAAGTCCCTCAAGAGCGCTTCCATTCATACTTCTCTTTGTTGCTAACCCTCATGGGCAACTCTCTTAAGTAGTCTGTCATCTCTACAGTCAATTATTCAAGCCAGTGACATAAAACATTTTTCCTGAGTGATGAAAATGATCTGAGCATGACTGGGTGGCATTTTCAGCTTCCAATCCAATGGAACGATGTTTGTCTTCTAGTGGCATCAATTCTCTAAGGACATGCAGTTCTAAACATACAGGGCTCATGGCCATAGGAAGGAGAAACAAAGTAATGACTAGATGCTAACAGAGTGAAGTGAGTTCCTGTTACTTGATGTGTGAGTGTATTAACTATGAGGGGAGCAACATTTATTGGGTGACATTTCAAAGCAATGGCTCTCAAAATTATATGTATCCAAACATGCTGTATTCTTCATTAATCACTGATTGTGCACTGGCTCTGAGACTTTTAAGTCTCTCTAGGGTGGGATCACAGAAATTTTACATCTGGCAAGTGATGATTTTGTTGGTCTTGGGATCACCTTTTGAAATCCACTGAAAATCTGTGTCATGGTCTACATTACAGAATTTCCATTTTGCAATTTGGCTGACAGCTGCCTCTATTTCTTCTCTGTAGGAAAAGCTTGGCAGTTTTGCTACTCATTTCACTGTAGAATGAATTTCAGATCAGAAGCAACCCATACAAGATACCATGATAGTGTGTTGTCGTCAAAACTAGGACACTGTTGGGAATGCTAGAGCTACACCAGGGCGGCAGCAGTAAACTGTCACTATGTGGGGCAAACTGGAGCACTCACCTTTGTATGAGGTGTTAACTATGTCTAGAATGGTTACACTAGGAATATCGGAGAGATAAAAACTCCAAATCCAGAAACAAAATTCCAGTACACTATAATTCTAGGCAACCAATAAATTAACCTGCCACTCTGTGACTGGCTGGGTCCCAGGACGTAATGACTTATCAAAGCCTCAAGACTTACTGCTGTTTGTAGTAAATGGTCACCCAGTAGTGACAATCCATATTAGGAATGGCAAGTTCACACTGTTTAGTCTGTGAATCATTGCATCTAAGTAGCTGTGGAACATAGTGAGTGAGCCGTGAAGCAGTGACAACATCTGTACATTGTGTCCACCCTGGAGCAGTGACAACATCGTGCATTGTATCCAGTCTGGAGCAGTGAGAACATCTGTGTATTGTGTCCACCCAGTTGTAAAGCTGCTTCCACAAGGGGCTTTTATCAAGTGCTAATGATCTTTCATTTTTCTATACAAAGAAAATGAAAAACTTGAATAGTTCATATAAGAAATAGTTTGTGCCACATATCAGGAAGTCCTTGGGTAGGGTCTCAAGACACAGTTAATCAGATGACTCTAGTTTGTCCTGTCTTTTTGTTTTGCCATCTTGGATGCATTATCTTATTTTATTCCATGGTTATAGGAAGCCACAGCTATTCGTGGCAGCACATCTTCACACACGGATACCTAGACGCAGAGGAGAGTCCTTCTTATTTTCATTTTAACAGCTAGAGACATTCACAGAGGCCAGGCTTGAGAGTGCACTGACAATCACAGAATCTGGGGGACTGCAGCAAAAGGAGCAGAGTTCAAGGCTAGCCTGGAATGCAGGGTGAGTCTGTAAAGTCGTCATCACCCCGTGTCCAGGGTTTGAGACCATACAGCTGCTGCTTCAAACCTCTCGTCACAAATCCTCTTTCTCTTTCCATGTCCGTGACAATTTAACTGAACCATTTGTGACACCTGTCATATCCTATGTCTTTTCAGGGAAAGGCAAAGATGAGATGTCGCCCCATGTTCTACCTGCTGGAGGAATTCTAGTTCTCAGTGGAGCCGAAGAGAACTGAGTCAGCCTGCCGCAATGTATGAGACTCACTCTTTGGTGCCTGCTCACCATGCAAAGCTATATATAAACTTGCTAGGTCTTTCTTTTTCTTCAGTTAAGTGACAATAAAGAAGCAATCAGGAAGAGCTGGCAGTTTCATAAGGGGCAGAGTGACATGCCTAGAAACATGAGCAAGAGGAGCCATCGGTGTGAAACTTGAGCTAGCAGGACCAGCTCAGATGCACTCACGCATATACTGTTTCCATTCTAGATGTGGCTAACTTTGCAACCAGGTGGATTAGATAACAGTCAATGTGTGCCAGGCAGATTACATTTCTACTCGCCTGGTTTCTATCATGTCCCAGTAGCAAAGTGTCACCCCGAAGACTGGCTGCTCTAACATCCCGATGTTTTCTCCAGGAACTCTGCATGCAGTCTTTCCATGGTCTCATTTAGCCTTTGACCTCCACGTGTCCTAAGAGCCACGTGGGATGTATCAGCTATCTAGATAGTCTTTCCCTGAGCCCAAAAGCAATCAAGTCGCTTGGGAAAATAGCTGAGGGTCATAGAGCTATATGTGTCACTTCCCAAATCCAAAAAGAACATCCATTTTACTATTTTCTCTAGATTTGGAAACAAACTGTCCTTGACATTGGAGAGGTTCAATGCATATAATGCAACACCAACCCCCAAGAAAATTCACTGTGTTTCCACGGATTTATTTTCACTTTCTGACACATGGTCTTAATCTAAAGATAACAGCCTCCTCCTGCTGCCTGACCTCATCAGCACATTCTTCTCGGTGAGGCCAGAGTAAAGAGACACAATTCCCGTGGACCAGTCTACAGCACAGAGCACAGACAGATGATGTAAGCATCTAAGAAAATGCGCTTCTGTCCCCTAAGATAAAATCAAACTGCTGCTGCTGTTTCTCTGTTTACTGAGGCAGAAGGAAGCAAAAAAAAGACTGTCCTTTTAAAAAGCTGCCATCAGTATTCTAGTGTGTGTAAACTGCTTTTGATTAGGCAATTGCATCCAGAAAATCTATGGGCTTGGAGAACAAATCTCTGCTCAGCTTGGGCCACAGTTGTGCTCTGGAACTTCCTAAAAGTTCACCATTGGCCATCAGACAATTGTGTAGGATGTGACAAGAAGTACAGCACGACTTTCTGAAAAATACAACAGTAACTTTGTGTGTGTTTATGTGTATGCACAGGTGTGTGTTTACATAGTTGTGTGTGGTTGTTCACATACATAAGTGTATATACATGTGGGGACCAGAGGATAACCCTGGGTGCTCCTGTACCATCCATCTGGTTTTTTGAGACAAAATATCTCTGACCTGCAATAAACTAGTAAGCTATGCTAGCCATCCACCTAGCTCCAGGGATTCCTCTGTTTCCAGTTTTAGTGGAAATACTATGTTTGATATCACTTGCTATTTATTCTGAACTGGGTAGTGTCTACCACATGTTTTCTGCTTGTTTACTTAGATGGAAATGTTCCCATGCAACTTGCCATTGGAGAGCAGTTGAAGAGGAGTGAGAGAAAAACAGGAACACTGTGTTTGCCATACCTTTAAGTACTCATTTATATATTCTTCCATTTCTAAAGCAAGAAAACACTTTGCAAACCTACTGGGTTCAAAATGGTCATAGGTTATGTGAGGGCGATCTGGCTGCGACATCTGTCACCCCATTGATTGCCAGAGTTGACTCGGCTGATCTGACTGGCTAGATGGGTGTCCCCCTCCTCCCTCAGGGCTCCATGTACTTCCCTCTTGATGCTGTACGAAAACAGGAGGACCGGTCTTCAGTCAAGGGTATACGAGTAACTGGAGTAGCTATGCGCCCCTGCTAGAACCTCCAAAGAAGTTCTCAAAATGGTCACAGGCTCATTTCCAAACGCTTTCATCAAGAGGTAAGATCTATTTTCTCACTCTTTAAGCTCGAGCTGATCTTGGACTTCCTTTGATTGCCGGCCTGCCCAGAATTATTTGTGACTTCATACAAGGCCTTCTCAGTGGCTCTGCCTTACTGGAACTATTACAACTGGGGAGAAGCCAGACACTGTCTTCTGAATGAGCTAGGAGAAGACAGCAGAGATGTCTTCATGGTCTACCAACCCCCAGCTAGCTGCTCCCTGGCAGAAACTGAAGCAATCCCTTTGCATCAGCAGAAGCAGAGATGAGTTTTTTGGCTGAGCCCAGCACACACTGCTGCCCAAGAACTGTGAACAGATGGCTGATATTTTAAACCCAAAGTTTTGGGGGAATTTCCATGCTGCAATAGGTAACTGGTATCCTCGGTCCACAACTGTCACTGCTGATCTGTGATCTCTCCTTTTATCATGGCATTAGTGCAGTGGTTTCTCAACCTTCCTGATGCTGCCATCCTTTAATGCAGTTCCTCATGTTGTGGTGACCCCCAACTATAAAATTATTTTTGTTGCTACTTCATAAATGTAGTTTTCCTACTGTGTGAATTGCAATGGAAATATCTGATATGCAAGATATCTAATATGCAACCCCTATGAAAGGGTCATTCAAACCCCAAAGGGGTTTCAACCCATGGGTTGAAAATCACTGTGTTAATGGGATTTAGGAAAAATGCAAGCATATCTTTTATTTCATCATATTTAATTAGGAATCAAACATTATAGATGAAAAACATTATTTTTAAAAGGAATGTGAAAACTCGAATCTGCTCTTCATATAGAACACCAGAAATGACTTTAGACTTGTAGGAAAAGTGGCAAGCAACTGGTCTGGGGATGTCTGGGGATGTGTTTCTGTGGAGCTGCACTTGTCTCGCAGAGAAGCCCTGGGCTTGATCCCAGCGCCACATCAAGCCAAGCCTGGTAGTTGACGCTTTTAATCCCAGCAATCAAAGTGGAAGCAGGAGGATCAGAAGTTCAAGGTTATCCTCAGATACACAATGATTTAAGTGTGAGGCTGGCCCATAAGACTGTCTGTGGCTCCCGAGCCACAAGCAAGTCTGAAGTATTGGGAAAAGAAAGACAAGACGTCCGGCCGTTTGTGCTAAGAGAATGCTTTATTGCAAGAGAATGTGTGTGGTTGTATTCATTGCAAGTGCTAAGAGGTCTCTATTGTAGAGAGGGAGCAACCTTATATACAGGCTTACAGCACAGTGGGGGGAAAAAACGGGTGGAAGAGGTCATGTTTTCCTCATGCTAGATGTTGATGTCAGTGGGGCAAGGCTGGGGCAGTAAGCCAGGACTAGAAAACAGGATGCACTCGGACTGGAAAACAGGATGCAACTGTTGTGGGGGCTGGGACCCAACACTGTCTCCAAACAAGCAGGAAAACCCCCTTGGTGAACACTGTAAAGGTCATGTAATCTCTACATCAAAAACTGGGGAAATGGGGCTGGAGAGATGGCTTAGCAGGTAAGAGTGAGTAGCACTCCTGTCGTGGTTCAGTTCTCAGCTCCCATATTGGGTGGATCATGGCAGCTTGTAACTCTAGTTCCAGGAGATGTAATCCCTCTGATTGCCTCAGGGACCTGAACTCTTGAGCACAACACACACATAGACACACACACATACACACACACACACACACACACACACACACACACACACCCTGAAATAAAACAAATGTAACTTAAAATAGATTTTTTCAGTACTTGGGAGATAACCCTTTTTCCTTCTTTTAGTGCAATACGCAGTGCTCCCTACTCCATGCTACTGCAATGCATCTTCTCATCAGTCCTTCAGGCTGAGGGTTGGGTAGAAAAGTGAAAATAAAGATGAGGAGATGGGGTTTTCACTAACAAACACAAGAAAACACAAATAATTATTTTTTTGTTTTATTTGGAGACAGACTGTTTCTACATTGGTCCAGCAAGCTTTGAACCTGTAATTCTCCTGCCTCTGCCTCCAAATGCAGGAATTAGGGCTGTATGTCACCTAACCCTGGCAAAATTTAAAATATGTATTTAATTGTGTCTTCATCTCAGTATACTTAAGCTGTATTTCATAGCCAATAACTCAGGTTTCTTTAAATCTTTCATGCATATAACTTATGAACTCAGGCATACGTATATGGAACTAATGCTCAAAATACATTATTGTTGAGTACATGGATAATCAAATATTGAAAACTGGGCAGGGAACTTCGGTTTCTCTTTTAAGAGACAAAATCAGAAAGGAACTGTGCTTGCTCTACAATTTAAACAAACACACATGCTACCAGGTATCACAGACTTGCCGTGATAATGGCACCAGGGGAAATGTCAACAGATATTTGTCCACAGTAGGTACCTACTGGCCTACTGTGTGTTTTAACTCTCAGAATGTATGGAGGAAGCGAAGAGGGGGTCAGAAGTTTTCGTGTCTCAAGCTCCTCCACCTCTTCCTGGGGTTTCCCTTGGGATCAGGCCTAGACATCCTAAGATCGCACCATTATTTTAGAGTCACCTCAGGTGCATACCTGTTTAAAAATATTATAGACTTACTTATTTCTGGCCACCCAGCCTCCTTGCTCATTCTGAGAGTGATCTAATCAGACTGTGTGATGTGGGATGGTCTGGCCACTTTTCTTCAGACCCTCCCTGGTGTGGTCTCTATGAAACTGCATGCAAGAGCCAAGTGCCCAGAGTTTATTCACATAGGCTTTGTATTCCATTTTCCAGACAGCAAACGTGGCAGATACCTTTCCGGCTATTTTTACCTATAGCTCCCTACCCGACATCAGCTATTCTCAGTTGTGATCTTCTGGTCATTTAGATCCACACCACATCCATTTTCAAACATGTCCTTCACCGCTTTGGTCCTTGTTCTCTTAACCTCTTCATCACCACCGCTGCTTCCTTCCCTTTCATTTTTGCTCCCATTCAGTTATTCCCCGCTGCCCAATTTTCCTCTATTCCATTCCGAACACCGGCTGAAAGCTTCCCTGTTGCTAAGTAGCCACATCCCACACACAAGGTTTTCTATACCATTTTCTACTCTCAGCTCCTTTCTTCTAGTGAAGAGAGAGAGATAACCAAGACAAAAGCAAACAAACAAATAAGAAAACAACTTTATTTGAGCCTTATAATCTCTAGGAGAAAATGAAGGGTTCTGCCTTCCCTGTCTTTATGCCTGTAGATGCACACTTTCCACACCTCGCCTCTTATTAGCTGCCATTGCTTCCTTTATTAATGATTTGCTCCAGACCCTGAGATAACACTACAAAAGCACAAAGCATCCCTCTGAGCTTACTTAAACTACGGATGAGGAAAAGAAATAGTCCTACCATGGGAACAATGAAAGAGAGCACTCTAAAGCACTGCGTGGCTTCATGAAGGCCCGTTACAGCAAATCCAGCCCTCCCCAGTTGAGTGGCTTTCCTTGGAGACCAGATCAGCTAACAAGTACTGGCTGTGGGCCTTTATCTTATTGAGTTGTGAAGAGACTGGGGGAGGTTTGCACAAAACAAAGGGTAAAAACAATACGAGAGCTCATGATGTGGCTTACTAATGTCTGTCCTTCTCCAGAATTCAATCTGACGTGACACTTGTGCTGAAGGCATAAATGGGTGTGTGGCAGCCCTACTCACAACATGTTCTCAAGGGATTCCAAGGCTTCTGGCACGCTTAATAATTTAACAGGCACGGTAACTCCATATGTCCAAACACTAGAGCAGAGTATCACATACCAGCATGTTTGGAGAAATCTCCTTTTCAACCTTGCAATACCATAAATAATTTCTCCCCTTGGTGTGAATTCTTTCTCTGTCGCTGTGCATTTCTGCCATGCCTGGGAGGCCTTCTTTGCTAAGCCTGCCCGACACTGTGGCTGTCAGTTGTTTTGAGCACAGTTAGCACTGCACTAATTGGGGAGTGTTGAGAGCTGTTTCACTGGTAGTGTCACAGCCTGACCTGGGAACACATGACCCAACGCTGAGTCTTGGTCTCCATAAGAGCACCTAGGTCACGTGTGTAATAAATGCTTACTAAGCTATCATGCAAGGAACAATAATACACACATGCACAAGGAGTGCTGGGACGGCTTGCTTCATCACACGCCAGCAGGGTTTTTTGTTTTGTTTTGTAGACAAGGTCTGTCAGTCTCACTGGGACCTCAGGCTCAAGCTAGCAAGCTCAAGCTAGCCTCCTCTCTCCACCCTGCCTGCACCGGGATTACATTTCAGGCTATACTCCTGGCTTTTTTGGTACTTGTGTTTGTATGACAAACTCTTTGCCAACTGAGCCATCTCCCCAGGTCCTTGGCTTCATTTTCCAGAGAGAAGAAAGAGTAGTTTGGGGTTTGGTTTTTTTGCTTGCTTATTTGGTTGGTTGGTACGTTTGTTTGTTTGTTTGTTTGTTTTGTTTTACATCGAAGTCCTTGCTCACCAGTAACCAAACA